GATTTTTTCTCAAATTTTATATTAATCAAATAAACTTAAATACTTTATTATTTTATGGATAAATATAAGTACGGTTCCATCCTTCATTTGTTTATTCTGATGTAATGTGTAAAAAAAATATTTCTTTTTATATATCATGATAAAACGAATAACTGTCAAATTATTTTGTTAAGCTTTTAAAATTAATAAAACCCTTCTCAAAGTTTTTAACTTTATCCATATCCTCTTTGAGGCGTTTGAAATTATATTTAAATTCTTTCGATTTCTTCTTTAGTGTTACTTGGAAACTTTGTAATCTCAATTAACTATTCACTGCATTCAATTCCTTATTTTTTCTTCTTTTAAATCCCTCTAGCATCTATTGCCCCAAGTCCAATCAAGTTAAGAATTTGGGGATACTAGGTTACGGGGTTAAAAAGATACTTTTTAAAAATATCAGATACTTTAAAAAAAAATATATTTTACTAAGTCAAAATTTGATGAGTGTCAAAATTTATTAGATTGTTTCGTCGTTATCAGTATCACTAATATAAATCATCTAAACATTTATGATACTTACATCATTTACCATATTTTCGTCATCCATTAAAATAAAACATGTTCTGAATTGGAAAAACAATAACTTAATGACAGATTCTTTAATAAATTTAATATAAACATGAAAGCTTAAAATAATATTGTGTCAAAATATCTATTTAATGTATCTACGAAAAGTTACAGATACAACATGCTAAGTAACTAGATACTTTAAAATAAAACTTTCATTTGAATTGGATAGAAAATAAACTTAGACAGATATAAATAATTTTTTTTACAAAAACAACACGTAAAATAAATTCTAACAAAAATTATCTTATTAAATGTATCTATTAAAAATATTTTTTTTAAAAAACAGCTGAAAAAGTAACGAGATGCCGATACTTTATATCAATAAAAAAAACTCACTAGCCATTTTTTATTATTATCTTTATATTGTGACAATTATTTTTTTACATTTAGCCGGTTCGATACTTTTATACATATAAACCGCACCCCCACTCCCTCCCGCCAAATATGTTGTGACATTGAAATAATAAAAGTTATATAACAAATAGGGTGGTTAATTATGGTGATAAACATATTAATATTTAAAAAAATATATATTTTGATTATATTAAATATACCTCGATATTTATGCTTCTTATCAGAGTTGTTATGTATCTAGATATAAAAATATGGTATCTGTATCTGTATCTAGATAGATTTTTGATTAAAATATCTGTCTCTAGATATTACTTTAGACGATGTATCTGTATCTAGATCCATTTAAAAAGTATCTTTTAACAACTCTGCTTCTTATTTTAATTGTCTCCGTTGGCAGTGAAAACGAGGAGTTGGGAAATTTTAGGGAATACCCAGGAAGATATGTGTCAATCTTCCTTTTAATACGTCAATAAAACCCCGCTTCTTCGAAACTTAGAAAAACGAAAGCGATATTTTGGATTCCGAATTAATAGTAAGTTCACGGAAAGAATTAATTAAAATAATCCATCATTCAAAACAGATGTTCTCTTTTACATCTCGAACCAACAGATTCCGTTATTGATAACCCGCGGCTTGATGGGCATACGCCTGGAGTAGAGGGTGTGACACATGTATCATCGAATAATAATTGCGATCCATTAGGTATAGTGGAAAAAATGGAAATCCTAAAAAAATACTCGCGTCTAGCCGAACAAACAATATAATTATTGAGGTAGTGTTGCAGTGGCCCGGCCCATTTCTAGTCTCCTCTGACTCTTGGGTCCGACATCACGGTTAGGAACTAGACCGATGGTCCATCGGTATGGTGTCACTTGACTCAACAGTCCATCGGTGCGGTCTCATTTTAGTAAAAAAATGACCGAATGGGATGGAACAGGACCTTCGCAAACACCACATTGCGCTATATCAACCAAACTGCTTATTTGGGGAAAGAGGATAAATCCCTAATCAAACTGATAACCCAAAAGAGCTATAAAACAACAATCACGAAAACCCTTTTGATCGAATAAAAAAAAATCCGCTTCGAAATTTGCGTTTACCAAATTTAAAAATTCGTGACCGTCACAATAAGGAGGGCGGGCGACTATTTTATTTGCAATTTAGAATGTTTTTTTTTAAATTTCATTTCTAAACATGTTTTATTATACATAGTTTATTATATGTTATTCTTAATAACTTTGTAAAATATCGATTATAGAATTAAATAACTCTCAGAATTCTAAATCTAGAACTTCTGCTTTTGCTACTACAGATACAAATAGGGACGCATTTATTGGTACCGAGGCAAATAAATAGGCTGATATTCACCGTCAACACCTTACCAATAATCGCCAAGACTTTAACATCGGTTTGGCTCTCACACCTTAGCCATTTTTTTTAAAGAGGTGGGGCACCGGATTTCTACTAGATACGAGAATCCTAAATGAGGACTACTACCCGCGTCAAAGGCTGACTATAAAACATAATAAGGTACAACTATCTTAGCGTTATAACTTCACTGAATGAGACCCCGTGAATGGTCATCTATGCTTGGGGCTTTTGTATAATCCCGTTAACATGCAATGTAGCACCAAGAGGTCTCCAATGTTTTAACGCAGGAAATAATGGCGAAGCGTATTTCCAAGACGAATATTCTTTAAATTATCCACTTATGGTTAGATAGAATTAAAAACCCTTTTGAACTCTTTTGCTGGTCGCGGAATGTATCATATACGCGAATCTCTAACCTTATTTAAGATTATTTAAAAAAAAGAAAGGATGTCATACTTATTATCGAATTTTATGATAATTAAATTTGGCAGACAGGTCAATTTATCCAATTATAATGCTTAATTATTATTCGTTAAACCCGTTTCCTGCGAGTTTAAAATATACAAATTTTTAAGAAATAAAAAATTGGAAATTGAAAAAAAGGCGTGTCAACCAGCTGATTTCCTGTTTCCAAGACGTTTGAAAATGCGTTCGAATCCGCCAATCGCGGTACCTGTATCACCCTTTTTGTCGGTACGCGATTTATAATTCCGAAATAGTTTATCGAAAGTTACAAAGTAAAAAATAACCTAACAGAGTTAAACCCTTTCCAGGTAGGTAGAATTACAGTGTCAATTTCTATCTGTATTTTCTCGTCTCGTTTGTTCATATCGGGAACTTCCATTTTTAAAACTAAGGGACATTTAAATAAATGTCCATCATTTGCTACTTACCCTCCTCGACTCTTCTCACAATAAATTACTAAAATAAGATGCGTGCATTTAATTTATCAAAGGTATAAAAGTAATAGCTACATAATTTGTCCGGAAATTTATAGGCGTTATCGCTAATGAAGTGAAGTAGCTATACCAGAGGTCCGCAATGGGCGAGTTTTTAGCTAAAAAGCCCACCCACTAGTTGTTTTAAATCATTTTTAATTTCATAATTTAACCCGCTAGCCCCCCTCCTAATGTTAGGTATATTTTAAAAAATCTGACCACGCCCTCCAGAGGCTGGCGTGAACGGGCGGACTAAAAATCGCCCAATTCAGACCTCTAAGCTATATATTCTTTTAGAACTATTCATCATTTATTGGAGAATATATGTTGGGTTCATAAGCACCCCTTGAGAAGGACTTCAAATCCTCTAAGAACAATTCTGGATTTCTGCGATAACTCGACAATTTTGGTTAAACAAATTTAGTCGGGTTTCTGCCCTTTTTTTGAGATATCAAGAAAATCAATTTTGATCAGCTGAGAATTTTGTTTTAAAAAAATGCTAAAAATTTTGCAATATAACTTAGGATTTCTGAAGCTAAGAAATCCTTCAATTTGTTATTAATGTCAAAAAAATGAAGAATTTGTTATTTTTTAAAAAATAATTTTCAATCGATTTTCGAAAATATATATTTTTGACTAACTTTTAATAATAAATGGCTCGTTAAAATTTACTTTTATATTAATGGAAATTTTGAAATAATTGTCGTTTTAGATGGATTAATGTTTTATTAAATCATAAATAATGGCCGAGTTATGGAAATTTAAAAGTCGGGTCAGTATTTATCCCACTAACACTCTACAACGAATATCCTAAGAGGGTCAACATCATATGTTAAACCCTCATTGTTTAAGCCTCGGTTAAATTTTGAATTATATTAATTAATCACTTGGGTTAGGGTTAAAATCTTCAATTTTCCCTTTGAAATAATCTACAAAACGTACCATTTACTTATATAATTTTTTTAAAAAAAAAATCAAAAAATAATCTTGTCCTTGGGTTTCAAAGTAAAATAATAAAAAAACCGCGGCCAATAATTCCTAAAAATTTTGCTTTGCCCATTCTCAAGAGAGCCTAGTTTTTCAAAGTTGTCGAAAGGTGCTCGTGTCAACTTACATGGGTTTACAGTCACCGCTAGAATTCTCGCGTAGGCGGCAAGAGGGTAACGGATCATCGTCTCGATAAAGACGATACTTTCTCAAATTAAACCTAAAACAAAATAAATCCCCAGCGTATCTTCTTTATAAAAATAAAAAACTTTAATATTCTGCGAGAACGCTGACAGGATTTTAGAAAAAATAATGAAAGGGGAACAGCTGATGAAACACGACAATTCTTTTTTCAGATTTTTATTTTTTTCTTAACCTATCGTTATCTTTTCCCGTTGGCATATGTCATGTAACGCGGAACTTTAAAATTTTTTTGAAAAAATATTAGGCGCCAAAATTAGAGTCCTTACATCAGAACCCAAAGAATTTTTATTTTTTTTTTAAAAACGAAATATAAATACACAACACCATTTTTAAAAATATAATTTATTCATGTTTTTTTTTTGGGGGGGGGGAACTTGTAGTTCCACTTCCGGTTTTACAGAGTGAGATTAAAAAATAAAGAATTATAATTTTAAACGCGACATTGTAATTAATTAAATTATATAAAACGATTTCCTTAAAAATACGGAGCGAGGTAGTAGTATAACATAAGTTTATACGAAACATTACATTAGTAGAGTATATATATACACATAACAATATAAACGCGATGCTAGATTTCAATCAGGAAAATTTGATCATTTTACCCTGGCAATATATTCTTCGTCCACAATTCTGTGCTGCTTGTTTAGAAAAACACACCTAATTTTACAAAAGTAAATAAATGATATGAAAATCTTTTTTATATAAATTATATTTCAAAAATGTACAAACAAACAACAACAAAGAAATCGTTAGGATTCGGAAGTTTAGCGGATTGATCCATCAGCCATAGTTTTCCAGTCCTGCCCGGAATATTTTTTTTACAAGTTACCCTGCGCAACCCAAGAATTAGCATTATTCTATGTTTTTAATTGGCTAGCCAGAATCGATATCAACATTTCGGATATAAATGTATAATTTTTAGCGGTACATTTTTCTCGACGTTGACGTCATGGCGAATAAATTACCTTAGGTTTAGGGATTTTGGTGTCGCCGACGAGACCGGAAACGTAACTTATACACATAGAACGACACGTGTGTCCCCAAACAAATTCGTATCGGCTGCTGGTGTCAGGCTCTTCGGCGCTATCATCATTGTCCTTCTTCAAGCCAATCAACGCGATCGCACCGCAGAGACTTTTGGAGGGTTCGGGTTCGAGGCTCGCTTCATCTGGCGGAAAGTTTAAAATCAACATAAAAATCAAATATTTAAAATATAATTTTTTGTAGTTATTAATATTTTTAAAAGATAGGAAATGGGATAGGCCCATCCAATTAGCGCCAAAAAATTTTAACCCTCAATCAAATTATTTTTTGCCAACCCCTCTCTCTAAGCCCACCCCCAAACTGAAATATCCTGACCATGGGCCAGACAAAATACATTTTATAACTAGCTGGATAAAATTATTTATATATCGTGGTCTGAGAATTTATTCTATTTAAAAAAACATCCGAAAAATTTACAAAGTAAGTTAAATTATAACCAATATAAGGTTAAATCGTATCGAAGATGATAGAAACTTAATTTCTAAAATAGCTTCTCCTTTTAAAAATCACAAAAATGTGGAGATGGAATAATCTAATTCCAACCCGATGATGTGCCGTATATGATGGAATCCCTTGGAGTTCCGAATCTCTCATTTTTTAAAATCATTTATGTATAAAATTTGAGCGGGAAATATATTCCAGCAATGACCATTTTAACCGCGAATTTGTGTGTTTTTAAATTTAAAATTGTCTAAAATGTCTTATTCGGAATACTCTAGAATACTGAAATATAATTCGGGTTAAATAAGCTCTTCAAATTTTCTAATCTAAATTTTAAAAAAAAACGAGAATTCTATTTCCTCAGCTAAAATAAATGCAAATTTGAGACCTCTAAATAAAATAAAAGTATGGTTCTTTCTTGGGAACCCGGGCTAAAAAAGAACCCCCTTTGATCCCATATGTTCCATAAATAAAAGTGTCCATTATAAACCTAGAAAAGTTTGCAACGTGTCCGTGAAAGCTTGGTGGACGAAGCGAGATCGCAGCAAATCTTGGCTCAACGTTTTAGCCATCAGCGATTTTATGAGCTGTTCGCCGCACCCTAAATTGTTAAAAAAAATTAATTTAATTTAATACGATTTCAAATTTTTTTTAAAAATATTTTAAAAGAAAGAACAAAGGGGGAAAAAAAAGGTAAAACAAGGGCCTACAGTACTTTACAAATCGGTATACGATTTATTGTATCGCGATTCGAAAGAAATATTTAAATTGAGGCGATAAGAAAGTATCGAAATGACGCGACAACAGGATCTTGCCAAATTTGAAATTCATGCTCTGAGATCGAACGCGTTGGAAATCGCTATTAGATTAAATTGGAAAAATATTCTTTAGCCTCGATAAAAGGAAAGAAAATAAATATATCCATGTACGGTAGTTAGCAAGTGGCTAAGCAAAATAGTCTCTGAATTCTAATTCGCAAAATAACTCTTTGCTTTAGGTTCAAGGAAATGGGGGGGGGTGGATAATGCAATAAAATTGTTTTGCAAAGTAGGATTAAGGATCATCATACCGGAAGTTGAGATAGCTATTCCGTCGTAAATTTTTGTACGATTCTTCGCGTTATCCTTTCGATTCTCGGCCCAACAACCGCACCCATACATTGCGGCCTAAACATAAAAAGGTTAATTAATATTATCGTTTTTTTTAAAAAAAAACAAAATGATTGTGCTATTTACCAACTTAAGATTATAGCGCGTTTTGTTTTTAAATTTTAATTTTCCAGAAATGCATTCTAGTCATGTTGGAAGGATATCTATCCTATAAATTCCCGATATTTATATAAATCATCATGTGACTTAGAAACATATGATTGAGAAGTTGTTATTAGATATGTCACTTGTAAATTAAATTTTTATACGAAAATATAATTACCGAAGAAAATAATGCGATAAATTAAAATTATATAAATGGTTATTTATTTAAAAATTAAAAAGCTTTAAAAAATATTTATTTTATTTTAAGATATTTTCTTGATTAGTGAACTGGCGACTTTATAATTTAATATATAAATAAAGACATTTACAGTTGACATTAATTGACATTTAACTTTATGATATTATAGCAAGATAACAGAAATAATATTGTGTATCTACAGTTGTTAAGGAGGGATAAAATTTAGACATATTAGAATCTAAACAGTTCTTAAAGAGCCGAGGGAAGCAAAATTTAGCAAAAAAGTAAAAAAATAAAAATGAGATATTGAATGTTTTTGCATAATGTAAAAGTATATTTTATTGACTTTTAACATTTATGATATTATAGCAAGATAACAGAAATAATATTGTGTATCTACAGTTGTTAAGGAGGGATAAAATTTCGACATATTAGAATCTAAACAGTTCTTAAAGAGCCGAGGGAAACAAAATTTAGCAAGAAAGTAAAAAAATAAAATTGAGATATTGAATGTTTTTGCATAATGTAAAAGTATATTTTATTGACTTTTAACATTTATGATATTATAGCAAGATAACAGAAATAATATTGTGTATCTACAGTTGTTAAGGAGAGATAAAATTTCGACAAGTTCTTAAAGAGCCGAGGGAAACAAAATTTAGCAAAAAAGTAACAAAATAAAAATGAGATATTGAATGTTTTTGCATAATGTAAAAGTATATTTTATTGAAGTAAATATCAATTTGTAAAAATAGAGATCACATGTTTTTAAAAGTTAAAATAAAGAAAATTAAAATCAATAATAAATCCTCTAGAAAATACATTAACAAAACGTCCATCATAAATGTCGATTACAAATAGATAGATACAACAAAAACAAGCTAAATAAGGCAAACCAATTTTATTTTTTATAGAGGATTAAAAAAATAGAATTACGTGTCCGATTCTGCCAGGTTGTTTAAGGATGGGACCTCCACTTGATATGCCAGAGTAAAAGTTTCCTTGGGAGTCCAAACATATTGCTCCGACTGTACCTAGATTCAAGCCTGCGTGATCAATGATTAGTTCATAAATTTAGCAAAAGTCAATGGAGAGAGAAAGATAGATTTAGGGAAGATAGAGGGGGGGTTAAGACCATTCTCCATAAACCAAAAAAAAATGTTGAATTCAGAATAAGTTTAAAAACCCAAATAGAATCTAGTTATTTTGTCGGCCAAAATTACCCTGTTACATAAAAAAAAATTTGGTTTGTGAAGCGGTTAAACCCCGAACCTGACTGCCCAGAGTCAAAGTCGCCAATAGGAATGACTCCTCTTATGAGTCGATGGCGGTGTATATTTATTGTTTAAACGCGTTTAAGCATGTACAGTTATAAACTACTATTTTTTTTCTTTCTTATATCAAATATGAACCATACTAATAATACAATACTTGTCTCTATAAAATATAAATATTCTTCCCTACTAGGATTCATAAACTGGTTATAGAAAAATAATGTACCCTTCCTCATCCAATAAATAAAGCCCTCACACCACAGGAACCCTTAGCTACCTCATGTATAGGGCTCAGAAGTCACAACAAAGGTTTCCAGGGACCTTGGGTTTATAATAGATAGAGAATTGATTTAAAATTGTGAGGAATAAATATTTTAAAAAAGTGGTATCAATTGTAGTTCAGATGGGCCCACCAAACAATTTCAAAAATTGGTTCTTATCGAGGTTTATTGATTTAGTTATTTGAAGTTTTCTTAACATCATTTGAATTAATTCATGATTTAAATTAAAATTGATTTTTATTTTCCAAACTTTGTAATTAATTTTTTTTTTAAATCGATAATTATCATGGAATTGGAGAAAATAAAGAAGGAGATTTTAAGTATTAGCCTATAATGAATAACAGATTAATTAATTAACACGAATAAGGTGGATCCAACTATAAAAAATTTAACAAAATTACAATCGATATAATATGGGTTAGCATACTTTCTTCTTGGTCTGGTTCTGAGAGTGGGAGATAGTCTTTGTCATTGATAGATTTTTGAAATGTTTTGTAAAACTTTAATATTACATTATAATATAGAAATGGTAACACATTATTATATGTTAAAATTTATAAAAATAATAAAACTGGGTTGGTTAATTCATCTAGAGGAATAATGTCTGTATCTTTCTGATATTCAGTAAGAGATGTATTCATTCCATTTATTGAGTATTGATTTATCTCTTCTTGATGCATCATCATAGCTTTTTCATAATCTTCATAAGTTTTATCTTTTAATTAATAATAAAATAATAATAAGATAAAATTTTAATAATTTTAGCATGCAAAACCTGTAATCAAATCTTTACCATTGGAAGTGCTTATAGATTTACAACAGCTTTGAGCCCATTTGTAAGCTTCATCACCAGCTAACATACTGAAATTTAAATACAAAGGAAATTTAACTTTTTAGAAATTGTATGTAATAGTTAAAATAATTATTTATATATACCATGGTTGAAGTAATTTTGTATTCTTATGTAATCTTGAATCAATTTGGCGCTTTAAAATTTGATTTGCTACTGCAATAGGATTTTTGACCCCTATATTCATTTATTTTGAAAAATATATTGATAATAGTTAATTTTAATTTTCTCATTTCTACATAATCCTCATAAAATAATCATTATAATTTTATATGTAAATAAACTTTTCAAGGCTCCTACACTACCCCAGTAGCCAAATTTCCCTTCCATAACTGATGCATCACATTCAACCTCCCCATTAATGTTTAAATTTGACCCATATCCAGCATTATTTAAGTGAGAGTTCTATTTTATATATTTAGGGACAAATATAATCAAAATTTTATTAGTTATTTTAGATATAAATTACATCTTATATAAATAGTAAATAAATAACCTCTAATAACTTTAAAACATAACTTATCACATCATTTCCAATATTTTCTTTTAATAACGATTTAATACCCTAAAGAATATTTATAATTTATAGTTTAATAGAGTTACTTTATAACAAACATCCGATGCTAAATCTTTATAATCATTATAAAGATTAGGATCGTGATATCCAGCGCCTATTTATAAGTGTAAGTTAAGACTTTTATTCATAACTAACCCAAATGCAAGGCTAAAAACACATGTTTTGTCATTTCATAATGCTCCACTAAATATTCTCAAATATTAAAAAAAAAAATTCCATTCAATTTATTTAAATATAAGAAAATAAGGAAACGCTTGGTTCTCTAAAGGGGATTATAATAATACATATACAAATTCTATAACCAAATGATGCAATTTTATATAATAGCAGGGCTCAAACTCTAATAAAACTTAATAAGTATATAGTAGCAATTGATTGTAATAGAACTATAAATTTAATTAATAAAAGTCTAACCCTGATTATAAAGATTATATCCATCTTAATCCTAATATTCTTAAAATATTGTCGAAATCCTATTTTAGAAGAGGCCTATCTAGGTATGAATTGTTTAATGAATAAACTTTAAATTTCAGATATTGACAAAAATATGCAAATAAGTCAATGCATTGGAGATCTTAAGATGATTTTAGATTTTAAATCTAGCAATGTAATTATTAAGCAATATTGCAAAATTATCAAAAATTTTTTTGAAGTAGCAAATAGTGGAGAACCAACACTTGCTAATGTAGAAATGATTAATATTACCACCATTCTCTTCTAACAACTCAGAATGCACCTAAAAATTTATATCAATTTCTTAAAGATATGTCATTCTTATCTAAATTACAGATTAAAAATATAAATGATCAAATTTTGCTCTTTAAATATATCTCAAATATCAATCCAAATAATTATCCAGATAAAATTGGAAAATCCTTAGAATACTTAGAATTTATAATTAAAATTTTAAAATATAGTCAACTCTCAAAGAATCAAAGTACAAATAATTTTCCAATTGATGTTCTTGGTCATTTAGAACATTTGAGCAATATTAAAAGATTTTGATACTATTGCAACCCTTTTTTAAATGATTCAGATAAACAAAATATCAAAGAAATTTTATCGAACTGTGAATCAAATATATCTGATAAATCCCATAAGATAGAATTATAAAAATTTATTAATTATATAGTTTATGATAAATGTAAAAACTAATTCATGTTAAATACATTTCTTTAATATTAATCAACAATATTTGTCTATTATAATATAGCACTGTCTGTCTTTCAGGTTTGAATTTTCATTTGTTATACCATAACTGATGAATTGATAATTTGGGATTAGCTAATTGACATTTAATTTTAACTAGAAACTATGAAAAAAAAAAATTGATATGGTAATGATATCTCAAGTCCGTGAATAATAATGATAACGATTCTGGGCTCACTATAATAATGATAATGTGGTAAATAATGAGGATCCTGAGCATTGCTTGCTTACTACAAACAAGGATTTATGCACACACTATTGACTCTAGAATGACGAGAATAATTGAAGGTAAAAAGAAGGAAAATATCAGACAAAGATAGTAAGCTCTTTTAGGGACATAACGTTATCTTACAAGGATATACATACCTAACATAAGAATTACTTTTTTTCCATCTCTAAAATCAGGCGTCAGGTACATTATTATTTATATTTGGTTACAACTTCTTAACACTCTCTTGCCGGTAACGGAACTAATAGATCTCCTCTTTCTTACTCCTCTCTTCTTTACTATGCTAGCTGACTACATAGTGGTACCGTCCACTATAATAAAACGGGTATACATCATGTATAGGATCTATATAGTAGTGAATATACTTGGTGCACGCTACAACTCCTGGTGGGTGATGAAATTGCACTTCGTGCAATTTCTGGCGTGGTAATGAATGAATGGATGAATTTATAAAAAAGTATTAATTAGGGCATAACCCAAGAATAAATCAAATTTTTCTTATCTATATATATTAATTTTTTTTAAACATAGAATCTAAATGAAGAAGATAGTATTGAGAAAATTTAAAATATTTATTCTAATTTATTAATAGACTTTCAAGGTCAAATTGAATATATAATTTCTGAGGGGATTCAAAAGTCGTTTTATTATTTGGAATGTGACGACAATGCTTGTAACTAGGCATAATTATAAAGAATTATAAGTTATTTTTAAGGATGTGGATAGTAATTTTTACTTGATTATAATAATAAATTATTATCAAAATTTCTAGCGTAAATAAAAGATATGCTCATTTTATCCAGTAAACACTAGTAAAAACAACATCCACAAGAGCATATGATATAGGTGCGATTAGGGTCATTTAGTGAAGTCATATAATATAAAAATGAGAGATATATAAATTTATTTTTCTGGGCAATTAAATTTTATATTTTTAAATCGTCAGTGCAATTAAATTTTATAATATGGTAGATTCTTTTGTCATGATGTTTCTTCATCAAAATTGTATTTTTATTTAAACCACTTAGTAAAACTTCTATATATTGAAAAAAAGGATTAGTTATATAGTCATATAGTGCCTTCTCCCCCTTTTCAACACATAGCATCTTCTTAAATAACTATCTAATCCAAGAGTACTAACTTATATATTGCAAATAGACACTATGTGAAATAAACCACACACTATTAATTTATAAATAAATTAAGTAGTAATGTTTTTAAATATTAAATTTTTTACCCCGAATTCAAGTCGAGCTTGTAGAAATTGGCTCCAAATTCAGAACGAACTATGACCCCAGGCCGAAATTGCTGAACCGATTGACTTGTCGGCTGGCCGGAAAATGTAAATAATTTATTCTATAAGTCTAAATTAAATAAATAAAAATTTATATAATAAAAATAATCATAAATTTTTATTTTACCTAATAATATTAAAAAAATATTAAATTTTGAAATATAACAATTTTTATAATTTATAATTTTTTTTAATTATAAATATATAATATTTTTTATTTCATTAGGAATAGGATTGATTATTAATATAATGAATAAAATTAATTGTTGTGTTTATTCTCATTATTTTTCAGTTTTCCGGCCCGGCTCATTATTTTTTTTGCCTGGCTTACAAAGAACTAATTCAAAATCACATCTTTTTTCTGAAAACAAAGTTAAAAAAATACTTTGATTTGTATATATATTGCTATTTCTTATCGTTGTTGTAAATAAGAAAGGAGGAAAACCCCTCCTCTCTTTAGAAATTGATTGTTTCTATAAATATAATTTTAAAATTTTTTTAAAGATTTTAAACAAATTTTTTATAATTTTTTTAGTATTATATAAATACCTTACGGATTTTTTGATTTTGTACCATATTATTTTTGTTTTTAAAATGAAGATTGGATATTTACATTTTTTAGGCGCCATGGTTTATTTATACGTATTTTATAAATGATAAATCAATCGATCAATAGAATAGTGATTGTAATATCTTAAATTTAACAATGCTTTAGTTCAAGGATGTTTGTTGTGATACCTAATATATTTTTAAATAAATGAGTATCCCGATATGTAAGTGTAGTATGAAGAACTTCCTTAGCAAAGAAAATTCTTTACTAATGTTTTACGTTTTAGGGAGAATATATAAGAGTTGATGTTTAAAAAATAAAATAAATTGTAAGTAATTATTAAAATTGAAAATCTCAACTTTTGTGTATTTTGCAACATTTGTATGAATTCTTAATGCTCAACTTATTAGTAAATATTTTTTCTTATTAAGATATACATTCTGGCAACTCTAGATGATGGAAATAGAGTTTAACATTTGATCAAAAGAAGCTTTTACATATGTAAATCTTACAGAAGTTGATTATTTATTATTATGATATTAAAATACAACTGTAAGTGTAAAGCTATAATATAAAAAAAAATGACTTTATCTCATTTTGGAAATGTTAAAATTTTAACTAAATCAGAATTTTATAACTTTAAAAAAAAATGTTTAAGCGTTAATAGGTATTCCACATTTCCATCAAACTGGATTATATTTATATGAGGAGACCTTTACACGTTTGTGGGAAACTTCAAGTACTTGTTGGTATAATAGATACAAGATTATTATTTAAAGGCCTATAGGCTGATAAGAAAAAATATTAAACCAAAGAAAACAAAAAAAATTATTATATTTTATTTAAAAAATAAAATAAAATAACACAATTCATTCATTCTTGAACCCTCGATTCTTTCAAATGAAAACGCCTTGGATTGGTATAACCTTTATCCCGTGGATGATTGGTTTCCCACTGATCAATGACTACATTTACATTGATTTTGCAGTAAAGACTGACCTCTCATTTTCTGCCATCTAATGGTAGAAGTCCATAAATAAATAAATATGTTAGTCTCAGAGACAGAATCAATAGTTACTAACACCTTAGTGATATTTAGAAAGGAGGCTCACAAATATGTAAGACTTATTTGCAAAAAGGAGACAGCTGGCAGGTGACCCCAAAGAAAGATTCCACCATCTCCAGCGCGATCTAATTTCCTAAGCATTCACTCTTCTCTATGGTAACATGTTACTTTTAAAGTTCTCTTTTAATGTTTTTTATATATGAAATACTATATTCATATAATTTTTCGTCACCATTGCAAGATCTCGTAAGTGACATTTTTTTCAAATTGTTTTTTTGGAATAAATGGGTTTATCTATATGCCAGCTATCATCTCTCAAAAAATCGTGTCTTCATTAACCAATAAAGATTCTCTTTTTTTTAAAAAATATAATTTTTAATCAAAACATTCGTTGATCAATAAAAACTCGTTAGTAGCATGGAAGGGGGGGGGGCGGTGTTAGCCTATGTGAATAATTTTTTTAAAAACCATTTTAAAAAAACCATTTTTTAAAAAACCATTTTTTTAAAAAACCATTTTTTAAAACCATTTTTTTATTAAATAGTGAAAAAAAAATTACTAATTATAATCAACGAATATAATTAAGTTTATAATTTATTGAGAATAAAATTGGAACAAAAAATATCAAAATGTAGTTTTCAGCCAGAGTGGGAATATATTTTTTTTCCCAATATATTCATGATAGATTATTTTGCATTAAATAATTTTATAAAGGTTTCATTTAAGATAGAAAAAAATTGTAAATCATTAGAATATTTTTCCTCAAGAATATCTATTATCTTATGTATCGTTCATAATTAATTGCTTTAAATCAGACTTAGATTTTTGGG